TCTTCTTCTTCTTCTTCTTCTTCTTCTTCTTCTTCTTCTTCTTCTTCTTCTTCTTCTTCTTCTTTTCTTCTTCTTCTCCTTCTTCTTCTCCTTCTTCTCCTCTCTCTCTCTCTCTCTCTCCTTCCCTCCCAGTATACTCAGCATAATGGAACAACTTCTTTGAATTTTTCATTCTCTATGTAAATGTGCATATAGGTATACATGTTTATAAAATACATGTCTGTGTATATCCAGCAGCATTATTTGTGCAGGTAATTTAGGGCTTAAGGGGAATGACCATTGGTGTGTGCCTCCACACCTGACTTGGATTTGTCTCCTGTGTCTTTTTTGTTTTGTCTTTACAATAGGCCTTTCCTCTTTTCATTTTTGATCTGATGAGACCAGTTAATTTATCTTATAAAATGAACCATCATCTATATTAAGTGGACTGTCCCCTTCTTGGAATGTCTAGCATACCTCTGTGTCATCTTATTTTTGTAATCTGGTGGTTGGAGCTAGAAGCTTGGTTACCTGGAAGATGATGGTAATGGTGCTACACTGATGGTAATGGTGCTGAGGAAGCTCCTGGTTCAGGAGCTGGCCTTACAGACACATTGTAAAGTTCCCATAATGTGTATCCCCTCTTGACATTAGCATACACTAACGCTTAACACCTTAGACCCATTCTTGCCTCAGGAATTTCATAATGGTGCCTTTCCTAACTCCGCCATCACACCCACAGCAGTAATTCCCTAAGGAACTGCTTCATCAATGAGTGCATTTAGTTCTTGCAGGAAAGTTCTTGCAGCCATTTCTTAACTCTCATGGTTTTTCAGAATGAGTTATGACTGCACTTCCTCTGCTGGGGACAGTGGTAACCAGTGGTTTTTCTTGGCGTTGGATGCTTTTGTGTTAGGTTTCAACCTAAAGGAGCCACAATCTGTTTCCCTTGAGCGGAGCAGCCTATTAATTTGTCTTTGCTCTCTGACTCAGTAAAGCAATTCAAGTTCACCTTGAGTTTTTCCTCATTGGATCTGCAGTTTCACATCTCCCCCAAGGAATTCTGCCTCTTTTCAGTCAGAAACACTGTTTTACAGATAGTAGGTAGAATTCTGGGATTCTATTTCTTGGTGTATTGTCATTGCTTCTAGGCTTCTGTCAGTGTGATAAAGCGCACATGCGTGTGCATGCATACATGTATATGTGTGATTTGTGTGTGGGAGTGGTTGCACACATGTGTATGATGAGCTTTTAATAAAGGTTCAGTACCAAATAAAAGTTTAAAAAGCTTCCAGTTTCAAAAAATTATACATGAACATTGTAGCTCCTACTAACATAGACATTGTTTCTTAAACTGTAGTGTAGTGTACATAGGAGTCACCAAGAGTAAAGTGGACGGTTCCTTTGTACCACACAGGCCTTCTCAATTCAGATCTCTCAAGAATTTTCCTTTCTAACAAGACCATCATGGTACGAATACAGATGGCATAGGCTGCCCCTGGTAATGCTGTCCTGCAGAGCTTGCTGAGGTAGTAGAACAGTGGGTGACTTTGTCCAACACTTAGACTTTTGTGATGTAGTAGTTTCTTTAAGACATCCCTAGAAAGGATAAAGACTTGACCAGCATGATGGAATATTGGAAAGACCTAAAATTCAAGTTCACACCCTGATGAGAAAAATTGGTATAGTAATGTCCATACAGCTAAAATCTTTGTGAGGATCAGATATGGACTTACATAAAGTATCAGACAATACAGATACATTGAATTATTGGAAGCCGGGTTTTGTATAAACTTTAGGTAATGTGCTTTAGCAAGTCAGTTACATTTCCTTAAAAAATAAAGTCATTTCTATTTCTTTTCTCATCTTTTCTCATCTCATCTCATTCTAGGAGCGAAGGATATATCCCAAGTAATTATGTCACAGGAAAGAAATCAAACAACTTGGATCAATATGAGTAAGTAAGCCTTTACTTTATAAGTGTGGATAGCTAGAAAAACTAGTGTTTTCCTAATTATGTAAGACGATTTGATGATTAAGGGATAACATTAATGTCTTTAGAAAGTGCCAGCATATCCTTAATTCTGTTGTCTGACTTAGTGAAATCCAAAGACTTACCTTTATACAGCATTTTCCTTGAATATATTGTGTGTCAGTGCCATTATATAAGCAGGCACAGTTGAACTAGATTTGAACAATCACAGCTCAGCTGAGTTTGAAATAAATGTCATTGTTCATTCACTCAAGGAACAACTTTCTCAGAGGGGCCTTTAAAAATATTCCATTGTTTCTTTTTTTTTTTTAGATGAAAACAACAGTCTATGATTATAGTTTTTAAGACTTTGAAAATAGGAAAAAATATTACAAAGAAAATATTATGAACAAGAGTTGACCTCTGTCAACATTAATGATATTTTTCTTTTCTTTTTCCACTAAGCAGTGAGTGCATTATACGTTCACATTTCTTCCTGCCGTTAGACAGTCTTTGAAAATATTTTCATAGCTGCACTATAGCTCATTCAGTCATAAATTTATAAAATATTTGCTGAGTTTTTGGCATTGATCTAGGGCTACAGCATATGGACTCATAATAATGAACATAATTGTTTTCTTATCTGGGAGGTATCAGGTTGTTTCAGGTGTCTTTGCAACAGTAAAATAATTAGGGTAGCCTCTTCTTGCCGCCTTCAACCATCTCTCTAAAATCTACCTCATGGAAAGCCTGCGTGTGTGAACTTTGTTGAGTCTCCTGATGCATGCTGTCCGACCACTTTACAGAAAAGCTGTACTTCCTATGCCCACAGGCAGTGCGTGACCAGATTTTAATGTGTGACTCATAGGTGTCAATCCTCTTGTAGTCCTCCTGAGGTAGGATGTGAATATGACATTCATTCCCTTAAAACAGCAAGTGTTTCTCTGCCATCTCACTGTGATGACATGAGCATACCTCAAAATCTAGAAGAAGACCAACAGTGTCTAAAAGTCCCAGCATCAGCGGCATGATCCCTTAAAGTGTAGATGGTATACAATTACATACTATACAGCTCAATTTACCAAAGCAGACTGTGTGCTTGACAATCTTTCCATAGGACTGTGATGGAAATGAAGAACTTCTTTTATTGCCTAATATTCTTCTCTGTGTGTAGATACACAAATGCTTACCATTGTGCTATAGTAGTCCATACTATTTGTGTGGTGACATGGGTTTGTAGCATAGTGCTCAAGAGCTGTTGCCTGCTTCATGTAGTCTGGGGGGTGGGAGGATGGAGAGGTGGGGATAGGTAGTAGATTATATGGGCTACCAGGAGCATAGTGGTCTATATGGGCTAGGTCTTTTAAATGTACTCTGTAAGGCTTCCTCAACCACAGTTGCCTGACTATGTATTCCTGAGGGTTCCTTATTGTCATAGATAATTGTGTACAATATGGTGGTTTGGCTCTTAAATGTATTTTAGGAAAATATAATGAAATCCTTAGAAACAGGGAAGATGCCCAAAGGCTCAAACTTGAACTGATTTGAAATGATTGGACCAAGAACTAACTGACAATTTGGTTCATGGAAACCAAATAATCCTGCTGTAACTATGAAGATTCCTTATGTCTCACGAGATTTCAAATAAGGATTTTTAACCCTCGAGTTTGTAACTAGGACATGAGTGTTTTGGTTATATTGTCACTTGGAAATGTAATCTCTCTGAAGAATTTTTCTCCTCTTCATTTCTCTAATGTGGGAGTCCCCACAGCATTCTGGGCTAGGGACAGGGATTCTAGTTTGGCATTATTCCAGGCAGTCAAGCTGAAGTCTGACCTCAAGGTAGGTAGAGACCCCATCTCCTGCTTTTCTCCTCCCTATGCTCTGGTTTGTTTGTTTGTTTGTTTGGCGGGGGGAGTAGGACAGCCCATTAGTAATACATCTTCCACAGCCTGGTGGATGTTGAATAAGCTGTTTTTCTGCTTGTTTGGGCCAATTAGGAATCCCAGGCTGCAGCTGCCCTTGGGTCAGACCCAGGACTACCAGGGTTGTCAGTAACCTAATTTGACCTCTACACTCTGCCAACAGTTTGAATACCAGAGGTTCAGAAAAATCCCCATAAGGAAAAAAAAATAGGGAAACTCATTAGGATGGTCAGAGGGAGGTGTTCTTGGGTGAAAGATGTTAAAGGAATAAGGTAGCCAAAATGAAATGGCAGGAGCAGCAGAATGTGTAGGAACAGCTCTGAGTGGGCCTAGGAAGCAGGTACAGAATAGAGAAAAGATAAAAATGTACACATGGTGGGTTGGTTGTGTTTCTCCTTCAGGTCTTTTTTTCTTGATTGACTCTTTCTTACTCGTCCTCCCCAAGAAACTTGGTCATAGTCTGACATTTGCAGAAGACTGGGTGTCCTCAAACCTTCTCTTCCCTGGCCTTCTGACACTGCTGTTAACATCCCATTCCTCAGGAATGTTGTGAGCTATCTAGCCATTTTGAAAAATGAATTCATTCTAGAGTATTGGTACCTGAGGAAAGGATGACAAATTACCCACAAATCTTGGGTATTGTTTCCAAATGTAGCTTTCCTTCAGCAAAAGGTATTAAACTCCAATGAGGCATCTCCATGCCTTACAGAGAGGTATGTGCTCTGGCATCTCTGTCTCCTTATACCCTGCAGATTCCTTCACATTCCTCTTGTGTGTGTCCTACTTCCTGACAGGAAGAATTCATCAAAGGTTCTTTTCCTCTTGCCTGGGGACAGGGACAGGAGACACAGAGACAGAGAAGCTGGGAAGAGTTGCTACAAAATAGCTATCAACAGTTAATTCATCTATTTGTTTATCACTCGATATACCCTAAAGGGTCTGGGCTTGTATCTTATATTATTCAGCTGCACATCACTGTAACAAAATACCTCGTAAAGAGAAAGCTTTTACTTTGGCTTGCAGTTTTGGAGTTTCCGTTCCATGATCTATTGATGCTATTGTTTTAGCACTGTTGTGAGAAAGAAATCATGATGGTAACATGCACTAGAACAAACCTGCTTGCATCATAACCGGAAAGCAGAGAAGGGTCAGGGGTGCTCTAGTTCCCTTCAGGGGTGTGCCTTTATGGCACAAGGACTTTCTGTAAGGACCTATCCATGAAAGCTTCCACAGTCTCCTGGTAGTGCCACTCTGGTCACCAAGTTGCTAATACACAGGCCATGGCACACACTGGGTAGAAACTATGGTGTGTCCCGAAGATGGAAGGATCTTTTGGGGGAAGCTATAGGCGCTGTAAAAACAACTCATTAGAACAGGTTTCAAGGAGCTTTTTTTTTTTTTTTTTTTTGTGCCACAGATTCCTTGACTCTATAGTTTCCTTTATCCTTTCCCAGGGTCTGGAATTTAGACTGTGAGGAAGGGGCCTTTTTGTTGTTCTGGGTATCTTATTATCATCTTAAAGCCACATTGTAGCTCTCTCAATTTTCTGCATCTGAACCTTGCATCTCTTGCTCTCACTTTGAAGATGTAAAACTGGATCTTCTATTTTGTTGACAAATCAAAACTCTTGTTAGTTCATAGTGTATGAGATACCCTTTCTTGAGTAATTTTTGTGACAGTTTTGGGTATCTGGTAAATATTTCTTATACAAATAGAAAAGCTTTAGCAACAGAATGTATCTATTCTAATTTATCACCATATTTCAGTTGCATTCAGAAATGAATTGATCATAATGAAATGAACTGATCATAATGGCAGTTTTGTTGAATGTGGCCTCATTTCATAAAGTGTGATAGACACCTTGTTCATTCCCAGGCCTGGTTCATCATTGCAAGGTCTGATATATTGCAACTTCACCAGGCATTTAGCTGCTTTCTAAAAACATTTGGATGACAGACACCTTTTCTTGTCTTGTATTTTGCTGGTTGTGACTTGACCTTTCTCAATCATGGGGATCCCTTTTATTTTCTTGTCCAGGGTGTCTGGGACCAGAGGCCTTTTGTGTGACAGACTTCTTCCTGGTGAGAAGCAAAACACACACACACACACACACACACACACGCACGCACGCACGCACGCACGCACGCACGCACGCAGTCACTCACTCACTCACTCTTACTCAGCTAAAAACAGACTAAAGTCCAACTTGGTGAACCAATGAGTTTCACTGCTGTTACTTACAGGAATATGGGTGAGGGATTACTTACAGGAGCAGAAATGACTCAAAGACAGCTGTATCACCAAGGCCCACCCAGCATGGGTGACAGCTCACAAGAGCTGGGAACCTGGAGCACACTGCCCAATCTGCAGGCAGCTCAGCAGGTTGGAGAGTGTCCTGTCCAGGTGACTCCATGGATCTCCTCTAGACAGTTTGGCTGGTTTCTGCTTCTTGTCAGCAACTGGCCAACTTATCTGATAGTCCTCTTTGCAGCTTGTCTTGTCTGAGAAGGACTCTCAGCAGTCTTTACTGTTTATTCTTGGGGAGGGAGGGGAAATCAGTGAATCTGGTCAGTTTCAGGAACTTCCTGAAGCTACTCTACTTGTTTACCTTCTGTGTAAAGGAGCTTCCTGCAAGATGGGACATTTTAATCTCAGAGAAAAGTACTACACAACCAGGCCTTTTATGAAATGGCTGAGACAATAGTGGGAAATATAGATGCCCAAAGAGGCCCCAGGAACTTTAGGCCATTTTTAATTTTTAGGTATTCGACAGTGATGGAGGATTCATTGTCAACTAAAAAACATTCAACAAAACAAATTTAATATTGAAGGGCAGAGAAAGCTAGTCTTGCTCCTAGTCACACGGAAGGATGATCCTTGGGGAAGCTCAAAGGGTAGACTGTCTCTGGGGATGAGGAAGACGATGGCAGTACACAGAGGGAGTCTTCACAAAGGCCAAGAAGGGGCAGATCTGCAGGGCCTCAGGGTGTGGACCAGGTGGGGAGGTAGGGTGAGTGCTCAGACAAGGCACAGAACCGATGTGCTGGTGATGGTGGCCGCAGGGGTCTAGGTGTGCTGGACATCAGAAAGTCTGGAACACCCATGTGGCCTCTTTTTTCAGTGTTGTTCCTTATTTCTTGACTTGAGATTTACATGAAATTCAGTGAATGGGTACCACAATGACCTGATAATCTGCCATGCTGATGAGATGGGGACTGGAATAAGATCTGATTTGAATTAAAGACAATAATGTAAAGTAGCATTTCCTGCATGTGTTAATCACTGGAGTAAAATTCGTCCTTGCTATACGTGTGGTCATTGGAAATGATTTGTTGTGTCGAATGACAAGAACAGGTGAATATGGCACCTCTATGCCAACATACATAGAACTTGTATAGATAGATTGGCAAAGCTGTCCTGTGACAAATTCAGGTTATGCCATACAAGTAGCCTTTGATTCCATTTAACAGAGGAGGGATGTCTTCCTAAGAACGTGGGCAGGAAAAGTCTGGAGACATGGACATGAAAACGTCTTATTGCTGTGGAGAATGTGGGTGATGTCTTACTGTGGTTGTGTTTCTTACATTTGTTATTGATAAGCTGTATTAGCTTGTCAGTCTGACTAAGAATGAAAAATAATTTTCAAAATCTGATAAGCATTTCTTTCTGATCAGATGGTATTGCAGAAATACCAACAGAAGCAAAGCCGAGCAACTCCTCAGGACAGAAGTAAGTGCTTGTCTGCATTTTGCATGTTGCATTTCAGCACAGATTAATTTTAACAAATCCTTCACAAGTGGTTCTCTGTACTTATTCCTAAAGCCTGGAGGGGCTGTGATATAAATTTACAAGCTGTCTTTCACATTACTTAAAAGAGAGTATTGGAGTGTTAGTACACTGTAACAAAGAGACAAACTCAAATGTCAAAACCACATCACTTCATAATTATGAAGACTTACAGACCAAAGTCATGGTCAGTAGCATTGGTTCCTTCTGGGGGCTGTGAGGGGAGGGTCTAAGTCCCTCTCCTTGCCTTGGAGATGGCTCTTCTCCCCCGTATCTTCATCTTCCTCCACACACGTACTTCTGTCTCTGTCTACATCTTCTCTTTTAGTAAGAGTACCAGCCGTACTGAACTAGAGCCACCATGATGAGTTAATTTTAATTTAATGACCTGTGTAAAGCCTTATGCCAGAGTATGCTCATATTCTGAAGCTTAGGACTCTTTGGCGTGCAGCAGAATGTGAATAGGCACCTTGACATCTGCATTGTGAAGTGGCGTCCACCACTGAGCACCCGCCCACCTTTCCTACTGGTTGATCAGTTGCTACTTTGACTTTAATACTCCAATGTATTTTCCTTTTTGCTTGAAGTTATGTTTTAGAATAGTTTACATTAATGTTATGAATATATTTTGTAAGTTAAAACTTAATAGTAATAGTCACAATGACTTAAAGTGAAATTAGAGGAAAAGAATGTATACAAAGAGGAAATTGCACTGACCTGAGAGAAACCCAGGTGCTCTAGAACAGATTTAGTCTTTTTTTCTTTTATCAGTCTGTAAGGCAGGAAAGTGGGCTTAGAAGCTAAAGTCTGCAGCTCCCACATTTACATTCTAGTTGTTTTAGTTAGTGATAGCTCAAGGCGTTGCCTCTTCTGGGTGTTACACCAAGTCTTTGCTGAGCACTGAGTATAGTTAATAGGACAAGGCTCATTCCCCTCCCCCAGGATCCTTACTGGCTTCCCAGAGACCACACACCCAGACAGCTAGAGGGTGCCCAGTACCTTGGCAGCCCCACCTTCAAATTCCCTGACTGGCCAGGTAACCTAGGGAAAGTTGTCTCATCTTTTTGTGTCCCTTTTCCTTACCTGCAAGATAAAAGAAGAAAAACCAAGACTATTACTCAAATGACTGTATTAAATACATTTGTATATGAGAATACGTTGGAAAAGAATTGATTTTCAAAACGGTGACTCATTAAATTTTTTACCAATGAAATAATGATCATAATTACTGTCTCTAATTGGTACCAGTTAGGCTTGTGTGGCCTTACTTAATTCCACTGTCTTTCTTATAAAAGTTACATTTCAAGTATGAAACACATTTTTCATCTTAAAGCAATGTAAACCCTAAAATGTTGGTAGAGAAGTCTCTAAGATGTGTGGTTTCTGTTTCTAGCCCTTCAACTGGGAATCTGATGGGAATTTAACCATTACTCACTCAATGGTTGTTTGTGTGTTTGAATCTCTGTTGGAGTTACTCCATCTCAGAGTGTATGGTGATACTTGAACTGAACTGCAGGGGAATCAAGGGTAACACATTCTTGCTAAGAGCACCGAGGTATTTACCGGAGAAAGGCTCTCTGGATAGGAATTGACACTGAGAGCAACTGAAAGTTCCCACCACTCGTGAGAATGCTATGAACTGGAAACCCAGAAAGAGATTCTCAATGATTGTTTTCACAAGCCCAGGGCTTACAGCACAGTGCTAGCTGCCTGGTGGCTCTCCCAAAGCCTTAAGACTCTCTAGCCGCAGGCCCCACTTCAGTATGTATGAGATGTTGTAGTTGGGAAATGTCTGTCATCTCATAGCCCTGGAGTTTGAGGCAGAAAGTCATGTGGGTGGAAAGACTAAGAGGCTTTATTGTTGCTCTTGTTGACAGCAGATTTTCTACACAGAGGATGATAATCAATTGATAAGATTAAACCCTTAAATCTTTACCACATCATCAGTAACTGGGATTTTAAAAAGAAATGTCTTAATTTGGATTTTTAGGATAAAGAAGGTGGTTTTATGGTGAGAGACTCCAGTCAACCAGGCTTGTACACAGTCTCCCTTTACACAAAGTTTGGGGGGTAAGTAGTTAAGTTCTAGTTTTTAGTTGTTGCTTTTTTATTCATTGTATGTGTGAGGTATGGGGGTGTGTGGCATGTGCATGTTACAAATGTGTGGGTGCAGGGGTGCTCACTTGTGCATGTGTGGGTGCAGGGGTGCTCACCTGTGCATGTGTGGGTGCAGAGATGCTCACCTGTGCATGTGTGGGTGCAGGGTGCTCACCTGTGCATGTGGAGACAAGAGGTTGACTTCCAGATATTTTCCTCAATGGTTTCTCCACCTTATTTACTTTAGTTTTTGGCACAGGGTCTCTCACTGTGCCTGGATCTCACCAACTGGCTAAACTAGCTAGCCAGTGAGTTTTTGGGATCAGTCTATCTCTCCCATCCCTCAACCCTGTGCTAACACTGCAGTTACAGGGATATGCCAGCATATCTAGCTTTTCTAGAAGTCCTGGGAATCCAAACGCATGTCCTTTCATAGCAGACATGTTATCTGCTGAAATATCTTCTTAAGCCCCATATTATTTTTTAATTCAGAGTTTTTATATGAACGTCCTGTGTTGCTTATATGTGTTCCTAATTTTCAAAGTAAGATACTCCATTTCAGCATTAGGGAAAAAAAATCTAATCTTCATTTCTAAAACCTGGCTATATTTTGTACTTATTTTTTCAGAAAATTTCCCTATATTTTCTCATATATATGTATATGTGTGTATACATACATACATACATGTGTGTTGAGAATAGCTATGGGAGATTTAGTAGCATTTATTGGATAACTGCTATGCTGTGAGCTACACACAAAGGAATCTACACTGAGTAGAGTAGGCTTTAGTAGTTTAATGAGGGCCACAGAAAGGCAGTCAAGACACATTTCAGCCATTCTTAAGTGACATCTAAGCTGAGACCTTACAGCAAGACAGGAAACACCTGAGAGAAGGGAGGGTTGCTGACTCAGCAGTGAGAGAGGTGATGGTGAGGGCAGGGAAGCACTAGGAATGTCTGTAGTGGATTAGAATGACTGAGACAACAGGGAGAAGGGAAGGAGAGGCACCCGAGAGGTGGAAGCAGACTCCGGGTTGTGTAATGGCCAAGGAACTCCAGCTCTACCGTAAGAGCAATTATGAACCATCTCGAATTTAAAGTATGAGATGACTAGAGATGTGTATTCCAGAAAGCTATCTACAATAGAATGTAAATATTCTTAAGTCTAGTCCATTCCCTTAGAGAAGGGAGAGTGTTCTAGGCATTGCAGGTCTATGTCGCTGTGGGACAGAAACTAACAGTAAATTAAAATTCCACTGCTGCTGGCTAGAGATGGGAAATGTTCTTGTTTTCATTCCCATGCAAGCAGTCAAGTTTATTATTGTGATCACTTTCAAGACTTTCACCCGTTGATGTGAGTTGAAAAGCTAGAAGCATGGGAAAACTAATACTTGTGTCAGGAATAGAAGGATCCAGTAGAAAGAGGTCATAACAAGGCTGCCCTGTAGATAATATCTGCGAGTGAAGTTCCATTATCTCAACCTGGTTGCAATACAGTGTTTTGTTCTGACTTTTTTTTTTTTTTAATAGAGAAGGTTCATCAGGTTTCAGGCATTATCACATAAAGGAAACAGCAACATCTCCAAAGAAGTATTACCTAGCGGAAAAGCATGCTTTTGGGTCAATTCCTGAGATCATTGAATATCATAAGCACAATGCAGCAGGTGAGTGAGCTGTGAGGATCCTTGAGCACAAGTAACCACATGATCAGATATTGTGATGAATTCTTCAGAAGGTAGGTTCTTGTAGTTATCTGTAAAGTGTGATTGATGTAAAAACTATTACATATTAAGAATATTCTAGATCCAAAGAAAAACCAGACATTGTATTAGATTTCATAGAAATGCCATTTCCATCACAGGAGTCAAGGTCTTTAATGTATGTGGATATTCACAGCTCATAGCCTTGGCACTGAAGGAAAATTCCCCTTTATGGACCTACTTTGTGAGCAACCCAGAAGGCTGAGGTTGGTAGTCACTTGAGTCAGAGAGTTCAAGACCAGTCTGGGCAATATAAGAAAGTTCCCCATCTCAACAAATAAACGTCAAAGATGTGTGTAGAGTGATCAGAGAAGGTTTTGGATGAGCCAGGGTTTCTGTTTATGCTGAAAGTTTTCAAGGAACAGAGTGTAGTTGCTCCTCAACATATAGTAGGATTATGTTAAGATGAAACCATCTGAGTTGAAAGTGCCCTAAGTAGAAGGTGTGTTTAGTGCAGCTAATCTACTGAGCATCCTGGCTTTGTGATGTGGCACTCTGTAGAGTACCAGCCGGTGACCTTCATGGTTACGTGATTGGCTGGGAATGATGTCTCATTACAGCTACACAACTGGAAGGTATCCTGTCTTACAATCTAGCCCAGGAGCAAACAAAATTCACTATTCTCAGAAGAGGTCTTGATCCAAAAAGGATGCTTTTCTTGGAGTGCATATTGCTTTGGCACCATGCTGAAGTTGAAAAACTGTAAAGTGAACCACTGAAGACTGCAGAGGACCCGACATCATGCACACAGGTTCTTTTCAGCAGCTTGAATCTGTGTTACACTCAAAATCAAACAAACAGCAAGAAAAAAAATAAGGTTTCCACGTAGGTTTCCAGCATTTTTTACTTTAAAGGTACAAACAAGTAGGGTGTCCAATAGTCAGCTGCTTAATTCTACTTGTGAAAAATTTACTTGTGAGTTAATCAGAGGGCCTCTTTATGAAGTGTGTTGCTGTTCTATGAGGCCATTTACTATTTTTCAGATGATAGGAAGAGTTATTAAGATGTAATTTACACACCATGGAATTCATGCATTTAAAATACAGGGTTCAGTGGCTTTTAGAATATTTACAGTGGGCCACCAATCACATCATCATAATCTAATTTCTTGAACCCTGTCATCATTCCCCAAAGAAATCTTGTTCCCATTAGCAGTTACCCATGCCCCTCCTTCTCCAGCCCAGCCCCAGACAACCACTAACCTACTTTCTGTCTTAGTAGATTTGCCTGTTCCGAACAGTTCATAGAAAAAGACTCATACATTTATACTGTGGCTGGGCTTTTTTTTTTTTTTTGGTTTTTGTTTGGGTGCATTATAATATTTTTACATTTGTCCACATTGTATTGTGTATTCCTTGTTGAAATAGTCAGAAAAGATAAAAAAAAAAGATCAAGGCCTGATACGTGAGAACTATACAGTATGTTGTATAAATTATTATGCAGAGCCTTGCATAATATTTGCACAATTGTTGGGTTCCCATGCCAAGTTATAAGTCTGTGTTTAATTCGTAAGTTATTTCCAGTGTCAGTGTAATATTGCTAAAGGCAAAGTAGAGAATTGGCCCTCTAATTCCCAATCTTGAAAGCTATCTTAACACACCTACCTTGACAAAATTTCTCCTTCATCTGCTTGTGGAAACCAAGATGTAGCCTGATTATGCACAACCTCCAGGCTTGATGATACCAGGGGAAAGGCTATGGGGATTCTGGACAGTGTAGATTCTTGGGGTTTTTTGTTTTGCTTTGTGTATTTCATTTTTTTTCTATTATGAAGTCACTGAACATATTCTTAGTGTGTTCTGCTCAAGTCTGACCTGTTCCAGGAAAGAAATCCTGAGGAAGCTGAAATTCTCAGGCAGGCAACCAGAGAAAGTGTCTACTCCTTTTTATTGACAGATAACAATCCATTGTGTGGACATTTGGCTCGTTTCCACATTTTGAATTTCATGACTAACATTGTTATGCATTTATGTGTTTGTGTGGAAACAGAGTTTTGATTCTTTGGGGTACTTGTCTACAAGTGAGCTTATAGGGTTGTTCTGCAATACTGTGTTCATTACTTGAGCAATTAAGCCAGGCATGGTGGCACACACCTTTAATCCCAGCCCTTGGGAGTCAGACGCTGAGAGAATCTATGAGTTTGAGGCAGCTGGTCTATAGATTGAGTTCCAGGACAGCCAGGGCTACACAGAAAACCCTGCCTTGAAAAACCAACAAAATAAAACAAGACGAATAAACAAAAAAAAATAATTTGAGCAATTAATTCTTACAGTTTTCTCCCCCCAAAACCTTTTTCATAACCTTGTTCTTTTATTCTCTTGTTTTTATTATACTTCTTTCTCTATTTCATATATATATAAAACAATTATCTTAATTTACTTAACTGATATGTATTTAGTACCTACTTTGTGCAAGAAAGCAAGTCATATTTTGAGGAGAGTATAGTGGACATTTTTGGTCATCAATCGAGAAGCACATGCAGTTTTAAATTACGATGAGAAAAGTGCTATATATCGGAATTACAGACCTATACAGGCGTTCCTGGAAGAGGGCTCCTGTTTCTTCTTTGGGGTCTTTAAGATTTGACTTTCTGGGGCTGGAGAAGTGACTCAGAGGTTAAGAGCACTGGCTGCTCTTCCAGAGGTCCTGAGTTCAATTCTCAGTAATCACATGATGGCTCATAACCATCTGTAGTGATATCTGGTGCCCTCTTCTGGCCTGCAGGGATACATGCAGACAGAACACTGTATACATAATAAATAAATAAATTTTTAAAAAATTGACTTTCCTCTCTGATTTCCAGTGGTTGGTAGTCCTCATTGCTTATACCCCAGAGCATGATTTTAATGCTACAGTCACAAACACTGAGTTATATCAGATGAATCACTTTAACTTTTAGCAGACTAATAAAATTCTCTTTTATAGTTCAGATCTCAAATTGGAGAAGATCATGAACTCACTGATGATAAGCACTGGAAATGTTTTAATATCCTTCACAGTGTTAGAGGAGAGAGGAAGCTAACCTTGTGCCAGATAAACACTGTATTTAAAAGGAAATGTGTAGAGTGGCTGAAAACATACTCTGCAGTGTTGTGTGTATATGAAGAAGAGGAGGCTGAAATAATAAGTGAATGAATTTTTCCTACGAGCTTCTTGTTTAGCATTTGACTGAGTAGAATGGTTAAGATAAAATTAACTACAATGGTTTCTTCACTCTTTAGGGCTTGTCACCAGGCTGCGGTACCCGGTTAGCACCAAGGGGAAGAATGCACCAACTACTGCAGGCTTCAGCTATGGTAACTCTCATTCTGTAGTTGCATTGGCAAGTTTCCCTTGTAAAGAATTCATCTTTGCAATACGAATGTAGATATGTGAAGTCAACACCCTGGGGATGGGGATGGGGAGGGGGACAACACTGTGAACAGAGTGGTGAAAAGTAGAGAGAGGAGGTTTGACCACTGTGTGTCACGAAGAGGAACTGTATCTTCAGGGTGCTCTCGTTAATGGCTCCAACAGAGAAAGGATTGGGGCAGGGCAGACAGGAGGTGTAACTGAGCAATCTTGGTCCAAGTGTGGCCTGGTTGATAATTTTCTCAGATCTGGTCCTACAAAGTGGTCTGAAGAAATCTTTATTGCTTGAGGGGACAAGCTGGTTCTCTGGAGCTGGTTGCTCCTTGTCATCATGAATTACTGACTGTACCTGGACTTGATGGTCAGGGGCGCTTCTATTCCTGGAGTCAGAGGTGGTTTCTAACAACTCTTGGACGCAGTTAGTGTCTTTTGAGCATCCAGAATAGGATGTTGTGAATTCTATAAGATGCCTCAGTTCCTTGCACCTTTGCTCCTTTGTACCCGAAGGGGAGAAGGTACGTTAGCTGTCACCAGGTTTTAGACAGATGCTCTTTGCCCATGTATGTGACCAGAAGTAAATGAGACAGATGCTGACGAAGGCAGAGATGCTAGGCTTTCACCCTGCTTGAGTCACCCTGTGGGCCCAAGAGAGGAATTTGGTTTTAGCAAAAGAATTCTCTGGGTGCAAGTTATATAACTGTTTTTTAATGCCTTGATAGAGTGATTAGAAGATTATACTTTATAGTAACACTAGATTTTCTGTTTTCATCATTATTTATATAAAAAAAACTTTCCAGCAGGGTGTTGGTAGCACACACCTTTAATCCCAGCATTCAGGAGGCAGAGGCAGGTGTATCTCTGTGAGTTTGAGCCCAGCCTAGTCTCCAGAGCGAGTGCCAGGATAGGCTCCAAAGCTACACAGAGAAACCCTGTCTCGGAAAAAAAAAAAAAAAAACCCAACTCTCCATAGATAAAAACTAAATATGTCACTGCTAAAACAGTTGCTGTCATGGTTCTCACTGGCTGTGCAGTCTGGGTGTCTCGATACAGGCTGCATCTCTGTTCCATGTCTTCTGGTAATTCCTGTTGTGTTATCCAGGACGTGGGGTTGGTCTTGTTTGGAACATCTCTCTTCCCCACAGACTTACACTGCTCTTCTTTTTAAAGGTCTCATTTTCTTATCTCTCTTACAGAGAAGTGGGAGATCAACCCATCAGAGCTGACTTTTATGAGGGAGTTGGGGAGTGGACTGTTTGGAGTGGTGAGGCTTGGCAAGTGGCGAGCACAGTACAAAGTAGCCATCAAAGCTATTCGGGAAGGTGCCATGTGTGAGGAGGATTTTATAGAGGAAGCTAAAGTCATGATGTAAGTCTCTTTCTATTATTACTACTACTGTTATTATTTTTGTGTATGGGTGTTTTGCCTGCATGTATTTCTGGTTACCATGTGCATACAGTGCCTGCAGAGGCCAGAAGTGGACACCAGATCCCCCTGGAGTTAAAGATGGTTGTGAGCCATCATGTGAGTGCCAGGGATCGAACTCAGGTCCTCTGGAAGAGCAACCAGTGCTCTTATCCAATGAGCCATCTCTCTCTAGTCCAACATGATATAAGTTTCTAGCTTCTACCAGGTCCACCCTTTTGTATTAAAAATTGGTCCCACCCGGCAGATAGGCCTGCTGGTTTCTTTTCCTGTGGTAACTCTCTGTGTGTCTGTCTGTGTTCCCAGGAAGCTAACGCACCCCAAGCTGGTGCAGCTCTATGGTGTATGCACCCAGCAGAAACCCATCTACATCGTTACTGAGTTCATGGAACGGGGTTGCCTTCTGAATTTCCTCCGACAGAGACAAGGCCATTTCAGTAGAGACATGCTGCTGAGCATGTGTCAGGATGTGTGCGAAGGGATGGAGTACCTGGAGAGAAACAGCTTCATCCACAGAGACCTGGTAACCATGGTTCCCCTGCCCCCCCACTCCCCATGGCTTCCCACTCATTGGCTGGATTCTTTTGTCACATTGCATTAGCCAGTGAGCTGTCTTGTATTAGTCCCCTGTTTTTGTCCTTAGCAAGATTTCATTATTTTAAAACTTAGTAAATTTCTATAATTTGATAATTTTAAAGGAAAAGACTTTTATTAAATCTAATAACTTACAGACTTAATATCTCCAAGCAAGTTTCTATGAATTAATTGTTTGAACTCTGGAAGATTCCCAGGAGATAGCTAGCCATAGCAGATTTATTCCCTGTCTTTGTGTTATAGATAAGGATGTTAGCTTTGGAGAAGTGAACGTGGCTTGTCTATTGTGAGACATCTTCCTTGATTCTTCTACCAAAACTGAGAGGATTTGCATTGCCCCCTACCCACTTTAGTTGTAGTTTCCTTGTGATGGAGTGTGGATCCACTTATTCAGAGCAGGAGCAAGGCATTTTGTTTTAACATCACATGACACAGGCATTGCTTTTGTGCTGTATAAACACAAACTGGTTTGATCATGGTAACAACCATAGGAATGTCGTTCCTATTTCCATTTTACAGACAAGGGAAATGAGTGTGATTGGATAAAATATTATCAGCAGTCAGAGAAATGGTGGAGGCAGGATTTGAACCCAGAGAGTTTGCCTCTAGGATCAGTGCTCTAGCTGCTATGCTAGCCTCTAGATTTAAAGCATAATAAAGAATTGAGGATTTGGCAATGGAAGACTTGATCTCCTAGGTGTGTTATGGCTAGTTCCTTATCCATTCTGTAAATTGGATTTGCAATTTACAAATCATTACTTTGCTCACTACGCTATTTTAGAGTTCATAGCATATAATTGAGGCAAAGGGCTTTGTAAAGCAGGCATGACATATATCATTGGTTTTGATGATTATGTGTAGCTGTGACAAAGGCTAATTGTCATATTGAAACTACGAATTAGGCACCGTCCTAGTTTTTGATCTCACAAAACAGATATAGGATGAACACCTTCATGACTTTTGCATTTGTCTGTGTAGAATTTGTTTTCATGAAAGCAAAATTTGATGTGTTGGGTGGGCTCTGATATTAAATTCTGGAGGTTTCAGCATACATTAAAGGAAGAGTCTGATGTTCCTGCCTCCTGGGAAAAGTAATTTTATGGGCTTTCTAGAGGCAGCACTGTGGTTGTCCCCATGGGAGGGTGCAGGTGATTCAGGAAATGGGTACTAACTCCCACTTGAGAAGAGGCTGTGAAATATCCTCAGAAGATACATAACTGGGGTTGCCACACAGAAAAAACAATAAGCATCCAAAGAGTCAGGGAGAAAACTACACCTCATCCCATTCTACCGAATTATTTTATCAAATCACACAGCTTTGAATAGAGCAAAAAACAAAAAGCATGTTTGTGTTTTACCAGCTGAGTATACCATGTCTTAATATATTAGAAACTTCATACATGATATAGCAAATCCTCTGTTTACACAGTAGCCTTTCTTTTGACTGTTGAGATGAACACTCTCAGATTACTTGTCACTTTGATGACTGTGTGTTTCTGGCCTTAGCTTGGCTTGTTTCTAGCTAGCTTTTCTAACTAAATTATCCAGTTTCTCTTTAGTTACATTTTGCCTCTGGGCTTTTTAATCTTTCTTTATTCTATATGTCTTTCCTTCCTTCTTATTCTGTGGCTGACTGGGTGGCTGGGTGGCTGGCCCCTGGTGTCTTCCTCTCCTCCTTTTTCTCACTCCTCTCTTCCCTAGATTTCTTCTCCTACGTGTTCTCTCTGCCCTCCAGCCCCACCTGTTTCTCTCTCCTATCTAGCTATCAGCCATTCAGCTCTTTATTAGACCAATCAGGTGTTTTAGACAGGCAAAGTAACACAGCTTCACAGAGTTAAACAAATGCAACATGAAAGAAAACAACACATCTTTGGATCATTAAACAAATATGCCACGGCATAAACAAATGTAGAACATCTTAAACTAATATTCCACAACACATTTACATCTTTTCTGGTGTTGACTTTGTTATATTGACTAGAAATTCAACTTCTTTTTTTTTTCTTTATTGCAGGACTTTCTAATAAATGTAACATCATAATGTTGTTTTTCAGGCTGCCAGAAATTGTCTAGTGAATGAAGCAGGAGTTGTGAAGGTATCTGATTTTGGAATGGCCAGGTATGGCTGAGTACTGTGCGCTCTTAAGTGATGGTCACATTATTTTGAATAAACATGGGAAGGTTTTGGGAGATAGCTCAGTAGGTAAACTGCTTGCCTCCTAAACATGAGAACCTGAGCTTGATCAGAACCTAAGAAGAAGTCTGGGAGTGGTGGTGCATTCTTGTAATCCCAGAATCCCAGAACTAGGGAGGCAGAGACCGTGGGGGGACGGACCCGGGAGCTCTCTGGCTAGCTAGCCTTGGTTAATTCATGAACTCTAAGCCATTGAGAGAACCTGTTCTAAAATAGATAGACCGTGTTCCCTACCATTCCACCCAAGGTTGTCCTCTGTTCTCTATATGCACCCATACCGCTCACAAAGTCATTCTGGGCTGAATACCAAATCTGAGGCCAGCCTGGGCTACATGATACCAATGCTGTTAAAAAATTAATGTGGGGATAATTTGCACCAGTAAAGCAAATGGGAAATCTCTTCAACTGTTGTGAGGTTAATGAGACTAACTATATTTTGTAGGTTAGTAATTCTCTCCACTAGATGGTACTAGAGACTATTAAATGCTTCTCTCTCTCTCTCTCTCTCTCTCTCTCTCTCTCTCTCTCTCTCTCTCTCCCCTCTCTCCTCTCTCGTCTCTCCCTCTCTCTTTAGAGCTAATTAATTCTTAGAATCTTCTGGAATGTGTTTGGTAATCTAGTGCTTAGCATAACCATGTTTGCAATGTTTTTAATCTCTTCATTTTTGTAACTTTAAGAGTGTTAGAATAGACTCCTCAGAAGCACTTTGCCTCTCTTCTGTCAGTTGAGTCGTAGATATGTTAGAAATCAGATGTGTAAGAAGCCTAAATCTGTGGACCACAGTGGCGACTAAACGGAAGGGCCTGCCCACATGCATCTTAAACGCTTGAGAAAGGAGACTTAGAGATAATGACTGTGACAGCAGGGGCGTGGTCAGCAAGCAGTGGCCTGTCTGTCCGATCTGTGTCTGTTTGTCCATCCTGTGAATCAAAAAATAGTGAAAAGGAAACTAAAAGCATATTGAAACACCTGAAAATTATCTGACATCTAAGTCATTGTCCATTAAAAAAAAAAAAAAAAGAAAAGAAAACATAGTGCTCTTGAGACACACAAGCTTTGCCCCACACTGCAGAGGCAAAACCTTGAGCTGTGACAGGGACTGTGTGCGATGCAGAATCTGAAATCCCTTATGTATTATCTGGCCTTTCTCAGGAAAAGTCTGTTATATTCTGTAAAAGAGATAACTTGGGATTGGGGGGCAGGGTGGAGGTAGCCATTGGAGACCTGGTGACCAGAAAGACGTTTTTCACATGGGAACACTGATCGAACACCACAGGAAACAGCCACTAAATAAAAGAAGCAAGAGTGGTACCTCCTGAAGTCTGGGACTAGTGTCACCTGCCTAGGGAACAAGAAGACAGCTCAGGCAGTTGGTTCAGAGGTCGATCTGAGAACAGTTACAAAGGCAGAGAAGTACTGGGTTTTCTGGGTCCAAGACCTGCTCCCTAGAAGATGCTGACTAGGGAGACCAGAATGCTGTCACTCGCTCTCAAAGCCCTAATTACTCAGGCTTCTCAACATGATGTATGTAAAGATGTTTAGCACCTGACAGGTGGCCCTCCACTTTCTTATAGTCTCTCTTCAGAAAGTTGGTATCTTTATACCAGTCCTTGTAAAACTACTCTTTATATACTAAATTCAGACTCACCTGACTGACAAGTCTTTGACCCAGCCCAAGATGGCACCGTCTGCCTGATAGCATCTTATCTGTACCATCCAAAAGAGGAAGTTAGTGAATCATTTGACTCTTTGCACATGACAGCTTTAGAATTAACTCTATATAAATACATAATTCATTCATAACCAGCCCCTCTGATAAATCGGTGCTGAAGTCCTCAAAGTCATCACTAATCAAGGATACCTTCCCACCCCACCCCGTCCGAGGGAGTGGACAATATTACATTTCCAAGTTTCTTTCTGGATGGACCTATATGTGTTCACATAGAAAAGGAATAAAACATTGCGTACGTGTGGATGGGTGGTGCTATGGTATATAAATACACTTACCGTCTTTTTATACTTCTTCGCCTCTTATTTTTTTTCTCGCTTGTTTTCACGAGCTGTAGTTTTAATTTGCACTCTTCGGAGCTGTGCGGGCTCAGAGCCTGGGGATCACTACTCACGAGTTACCACTTCCGTTAAGCAGCTCTTGCTTTAGATCTTTTTCATACAGGGCCTTTGGGTAAAATTTTGTTCAGGGAACAAAATCACACACCCAAGAGTTTGCAGCAGTTGTGTGATATTTCTGCCTCATGAAAAAGGAAAGATGAGCAGCAGAACAATGAAGGTGTAAGTACATGCTAGGGTTGTGAGGTTGTCTTCTTATGGCCTTAAATTATGCTGAGGAGATAGACATCACCAGACAAGGCCATGAGCTGAACATTTCACTTCAGCCAGGTGCATGGTAGACGTCAGTTATTGTCTTGTTTTGTCTTTGTAAAGGGGAAATGAAAGCCCACATCTGACATGCAAAGAGGTAACCCATGGTGTGTCTCACCCTAGGTATGTTCTGGATGATCAGTACACAAGTTCCTCTGGTGCCAAGTTCCCCGTGAAGTGGTGTCCCCCGGAAGTGTTTAATTACAGTCGCTTTAGCAGCAAGTCAGACGTCTGGTCATTTGGTAAGGTCCATGATGTGCATTTCTTCCCCTTCCCTGTGAGGAGGAAACAGACATGTCATTGAATAACCTTATTGTTCTGTAGGTGTTCTAATGTGGGAAGTATTCACAGAAGGCAGGATGCCCTTTGAGAAGAACACCAATTATGAAGTGGTAACCATGGTTACTCGCGGCCACCGACTCCACCGGCCAAAGTTGGCATCCAAATATTTGTATGAGGTGATGCTGAGGTGTTGGCAGGAGGTATCTACTTCTTTGTGTTCTCTTATGATCTGTAAAAACATCTTGTGATTGGCCCAGTGGATGGGGTAGGTACTGTCCTCACAGCTAGTGAGGGCCTGCCTTCTGCACAGGGATTTCAAGCTCCAGCAGGAAGCCAAGTCTTTGTCTCAGTTCTAAATACTGAGAAGAATCTGAAGGAATGGAGAGTGCTAAGAGTTAGCTTAATGTACTCAGGCTGATGTCTCACTCCCAGGTGGAAACCCCTCCACAGCCAGGGAGGGGCTTGGGAATAAGCTTGGAGAAGTTGCTCCTCCCCTTCCTGTGCAATAGCTGTCGGCTTGAAGCATCACTCTTTCTAGAGAAGGGTTCTTTGATCTCAGTGTCTCTGCGTATCTTACTTAATCTCTAGAAGCATTGAAATGTCACCTCCATAGGAGAGATCAAACACCAGAGAGACCCTTGAAAGACAGGAGTTCACATATATTGTATATGGAGTCCTTTAACGTTAGTATTCAGAATAACCCTTTAACGTGTAGACACATGTACTATAACCATTTGATAGGGGAGGTTGATACTTGCCCAGGACCAGCTACCCACAGAGCATGAGAGGCCCATCCAGCACCAAAGCTGAGGCTCCCTGTCACTTGGCTGTGATAGCTCCCACAAGCACTGATTGGGGTGGGCAGAGGCTGACTAGGCAGGAAGTGGTAGCAGAGAGAGCAACATGAGCAAAGGTGGCAATTTGGTTGTAAACATGGTGTGTGTGCCCGAGGGTGAAGCTTTGTCTGATTTAACAAAGAGCCAGAGTGAGGCTTTTTGTGGGAAATGAGGTTAGGTGACAAGATGGTGGGGGAGGGGCGGATCACAGAGGGTTCTCCAAATGAGTGAGACTTGATTTCTTAGGAACTATGGAGCTCTAGTAGGTCCCTGAGAAGGGGATAAAAAAGGAGTCTAGCAGGCATGAAATAAGTTTGGCACACAGGCCAGCCTGTCTTCCCAACCCTTGAGTCTTGCCTGTGCAGTGTTCCACAGGATTGGAGCAGTGAGAGTTTTCTTGGGAATGCATTCTGAAACTCACAGCTTCTCTTTGACTTTTTGAAGAAACCAGAGGGAAGGCCTTCGTTTGAAGATTTGCTGCGTACGATAGATGAACTGGTTGAATGTGAAGAAACTTTTGGAAGATAAATGGTGGCTCTGGTTTCCAAGGCAAGACGAAGAAATAGCACGCTGTGGGGAACATAATTAAGTTGGCACCGGGGAGTACAGAGGGCTCTCCTTACAATGTGGGAACTCCAAAGCCTTTGTTTCTGGTCCAGCCTCAGCTCTGTGACTGTTTGGTAGGGTGCAGAGATGGTGTCTTAGAGAGCATGGCTTGAAGCATTCACTAGCTCATTCCTTCAAGAGCTCCCGTGCCAACAGTGGAGCATCCATCGAACCCAGGCCTCAGGGTTTGCCCATTTTGGAGATGAACATGGGGCTGTGTTAGCTGGTGCTAATAGAAAAGCCAAGATGTTTGGGAGGGGGAAGAGCCATGTCCCAGAAACTCTTCTATGCCCTTTGGCTTCTACATAAACCTGGGCCTGGAGTGTGGTCTATAACCGAGTTCTAGGTAAAACAGGAACCCACCCAAATAAGTAGTAATCCTCTGTTTTCAAAACATCTCTTTCCAAACCTGTCCTTACTATTACATTAAAAAAAAATCTGTATACTGTACATGTTGTAAATACGTATAATATGTAAAGTTATATATTTATAAAAAAAACATGAGTTTGCCTCTTTAATTGAAATTTTTGGGTTTTTTTGTTTGTTTGTTGTTGTTGTTGGGTTTTTTTTATTTTTTATTTTTTATTTTTGGTTTTTTGAGACAGGGTTTCTCTGTATTGCTTTGGAGCCTGTCTTGGAACTTGCTCTGTAGACCAGGCTGACATTGAACTCACAGAGATCCACCTACCTCTGCCTCCCAAGTGCTGGAATTAAAGGTGTGCGCCACCAACACCCAGCTATTTTTGTTTTTTGGGACAAAGTCTCAAGATGTAGACCAGGCTGTCATCAAACTTACAAACATCAATCTTTAATTGAAACTTTTAGGGTTAGAGAATGTCTAGTCCTAATTCTAACAACTGCCAAGTCTATCTCCCCCAGGAATCAAATATTGCTTTCTGAAGAGAAGAAAGCTTGGGTCCTTCAGCGACTAAATTCCTGATTCACAAGTAGACTCATACAAACATGCATGTCGGTCCAGCTTGAACCACAGCATGGCCTCTGATGTGCTATTTGACCCTGACCATGGTAGCCAGAGCTGTTAGAGCTAGGTGGAACTTTTACTGACAGAATTAGTTATCTCGAAAGTCTTAAGAATGCTCTGACTGAGGTGCTGGGCTCGGGACCAGAGTGTTATAACAAAGAAATGGTACCCAACAAGAGGAGGTCCCCAGAGCAGCTTACCTTTGTTGGCCCAGGATGCTGGCAAGGGAGCTAGAGAGAAGGTGTTCTGAGCTGCCATGTGTTTTTCAAGAAGCCTGGCTGGACTTGGGTCCCTGAATTAGTGAGACTGTCCATCCCAGCCTTGCACTAGACCATGCTGGCCAGTATGTTTGAGTGGGTTTCTCACTTACACAATTTTCTTTTTCATGAGCTTCAGAGAAAAAAAGCCAACCGAGCTACCACCAGTAGAAACCATTTACCATCGAACACACTGACCTTGGTGTGAGTTCCCAACGCCAAGGATGGTACCACACCCACTTGTTGATTATGTGAGTTTTCTGGCTTGGAACTCAGGTCCGTATATTTCTGTGTCAAACACTTTATCCACTGAGCCATTTCCCTAGCCCATATAAATACTTCCTATGGGAAAACGAAACAACACTGCCAACATTTGGGAATCATTTTCTTTTTCAAGACAGGGTATCTCTGGGTAGCCCTGGCTGTCCTGGAACTCTCTATGTAGACCAGACTGGCTTTGAACTCACAGAGATCCACCTGCCTCTGCCTCCTGGGTGCTGGGATTAAAGGCATGCACCACACTAATTCTCACCTAATTGCAAATCAGGTTCCTGAACCAAACACTCTAGATTGAATATTTATAATCCTAGAACCCAATTTCCCCTGTACCACTATGAGCCCTTGGGTGATTTATAATCCTAGAACCCAATTTCCCCTGTACCACTATGAGCCCTTGGGCAAATAAAACCCCTTCTTGTCTGTCCCTTTACTCTAGTCTCTGCCCATGGAGGACAGTTTGACTTGATCATTTTTAAGGTCTCCCATTACCAAAATTCTATGATTTCTTCAAAATGTTTTCTAGACACACCCACACATGTAGGCACGAGGAAGTACTAACAAACACCTCAGATGTGGATACAGAGTTCTGAACTTTCTTATGTAGGCCACTGGTTTGTCATTCACACACTCCTCTGAGGTTTCAGAACAGGAAAATAGGTGGGGTAAACTTTGGCTGCGAGAAACGTCACAGGCCAACTATGCTTTCAGTTGAAAGATGTGTTGCTGTGAGTGGAACACGGCTGAAGAACCAAGGCTTCTGTGTGTGCCCAGGCGACAGGGTAGCCATGATTCTGTCATCTTGTAAGTAAGATGGGCTTTGCCTGCCATTTAATGTCAGGATTGTTTGTGGGTATATTCCTGAGTCTAGAACATGAGGGGAGGCTTTTGCTAAAATGTGGAATTTGTGGAATCTTGAAGATAATGTTTTCAGATGTAGGGACAGTTTTGTGGCTTATTTAAACAGCCAGTGTCTCCTGATAAAACTATATTATTGAGAATTGAGAACACAAATGAAAATAGCAAAATAAAAAAAAAAAGTGTACTTCCTTGTGTGGAAATGCAGTTAGTGTGATGTGATGTGTTTGTTTCTAGGATGTTAAAGAACTCAGAGTTGAAGGCCAGGAGGCCAAACTCTTGTTCTGGTTTGCCTCGGCTTTGACAAGTCACCATTGGCAACTTGGTTGTATGAACGAGTCTCCAACATGAGGACTCCTTTTCTGCCTCCTCCTCTGGATATCATGAAGAAATAATAGGTTAAAAATGACAGATGCATCATCGAGCTAATTTGAGAGCTTCTCTTAAAGCTCCAGTGCAATTTTTAGAAACACTCACTAATTCAACTTTAAGACCCAGAGAGGCTTATTAGTTTTTAAAATGGAAGAAAAAGGACCATCTCTAATTTTAATTCTAGTTTGTCTTTGGAATCAAACAGCAGCGGAGCTCAGTCATTTCAGATTAGTTCAGAATTCTGATTTTTAGCTGTCATCAGGAAAAACAGATTGTGAGTTTGACATGTCTCTTTAAGCCACAGCACCTTATTAGAACCCCACACACATAGGTGGGATTTATAGAAACAAACACATGCTATTTTAGTTGTGCCTTCCTGCATATGATTTACAGTCTTAATTCATGAAGACTAAAACAAAAAACAACAACAAAATATAAAACAAAAGGCTTCCTGTTATCAGAAATAGGCCAAGCAGATCAAAGCAGAAAAAGCTACAAAGAGTTGTCAGATGTCCCCACCTCCCCAAAACCAGAGCACTGATGAGCAGTGACAGGGTATGGAACTTTAAAGGCCCTCACTGTTTTTCCTGAGGTCAGAACTAGGGGAAGGCCATACGTTATAACAGGAAAGGGTTAGCTACTTGCGTAAAGTAGTTTTGGGGGGCCGAGACAAGGTCTAGGATGTCTAGGGCTGAAGCAGGAGACTAGTAGCTGTGGGGTCATGATGATCATTCCCCTTGGCCTGGAAAGGGGTGATTTAATGCCATTGCCCTACATCATCCAGTGTCTGGTAGTCTGACTGGGTGGTAAGAATCACCTGTCCCTTCTTCCCTAAGCCACAGCTAAACAATGCTCTCTTTTCTTCTGGGTGAAATAACAGAGTCTTGACCGTTGACAAGGAAATGCCAAGCATGCTCCGGGGTCTATTGAACTTAAGGATGCTCATTTGTATTTGCCAATGGTTTACCAAACACCTGACTTGTTCTAAGGGCTGTCATGGCAACCTGGAGTTACAGGCTGCTGGAAGAGAAGGGGCAATGTTGTGAAGGGTGGGATTTTGATCCGATGGAATGATTGCAAGTTCTGAACAGGGGCGAAGGACATTGTTCCAATGAGGTTACATTTGTGAAGTGTGGTTGGAATTGCTGGTGTGTTGAGTAGCTAAGTTACCATGAAAACAGAATGGGACATTTATCTAGATGCCAAAATCCTGGTGCAAAATCCTGAGGGTTAGAAAAACTTAACTCTCCTGGAACACTTTTCATCTATTCTTTTTCTGTCCTTTTATTGTTTCCAAGTCGTAAAGTAGAAAATAAAAATGATGGACAGAACACTGTCTCACACCAACCTGTTATTAATGTGAAGATAAGCAGGGTGGCTGGGGCAGGCATCCTCCAAGCTCGACTCTGGTGCTATCTACTTCCAGGTAGCAATGCCCATGAGCAATCAATCCCTCTTCTTCGGAAGCTGATGTAGCTCCTTACTTTTCTCAAATAGAATATGTGAAAACAATGCCATGTCACCTCTGAGACTTGGTCCCCAAAGATGCAGCTCCTATCTTGGCTGTATCTAGCCTTTCTGCCCCTTGGATCATCAGCTACCCTGGAAACCCAGACTCCATGAACCAAGTGCTTGCCAGTGGCTGTGAAGTGAACTTGAAGTGGTTTCTAGCTTCAGGCCAGCCAGGTTTGACTTCAGAGAGACCATGAGGATAGGGACCCTGCCAAGCTGTCAGAGAACAACTGGTCCACAGAAACAAAGTACTCTTAAAAGTGTAATTGGATCCAGGCCAGATTGGTTCTCAGAAATAGAAAATGCATGTAGTGGCAAGGGCAAGGAGTGCCACAGATCAAAAACTAACTTTGCTTCCACTACGGTTGCCTCTGCTGAAGTTGATGCTTTTTTTTTTCACCCACAGACTTGGTGTTAAAAAGCACAAATACAGTATGTGTGTTTCCTTTTGTCTTGGAATAATGTCATGTTTCCCCTGTAACTAACTTGTATAAAAATGGTAATTGTGGCCAGTTTGTATATACCTGTCTTCTTGGGTACAGATTTGCAGATCCCATAGCACCTCTGAAGAACCCCCTCCCCTCCCTTGGTCAGTCTCATCCATCCTTCCTGCCAACACAGAAGTCGGTAGCTCAGCTTGTGGTCCAGGGCCCACGTGCTCTGTGGCTCAGTCTGGCATTTCTTCGCTTCATGAGCTGACCAGAAAGCTAGTGAGATCCTCAAGCCTGTGAACTGTGGTCCCACAGACAACACAGTTCTAGGAAGGAGGACCTTGAGGTGTGGGGCAGAGAAGAGATGGTGTGTGAGATGACCGCAGAGTCCAGCTCATGTGGGCTCATTACCTGGAAGATGTCAGCATTTCTGCAGAGCAGACATAGTAGGGCAGACCCAGGGATATATGTTCCAGACCAGCTTGGCCTATGTGAGACTGTCTCAAAACAACACAACCAGGGGCAGGGAATGTAGCTCAGTGAATGTCTTTGAGGGATAGAGGTGGGACCTGATCACAGCTGGGAAACACACGGGCCATTGTCCTATAGAAAACTCATGACCTTTCCTCCTTTGCTCTCCTCTTGCTCCATCCAGATCCGCAGGCTTCTAGAGTCTTCCTTATACTCCTTCGCCAACAACAATAAGCCTCAGGAC